AAACTCAGTTGTGCATTTCAGATGCTGTCACATCCTACAACCTCGTCATCTGCAGAGAAAAATTGCCACTCAGTCACACCAAAATGTGACTCTGCCTGTGAAAACCCAGCTAAAGTCTTTGTGTGTGTGATTTACTGTTTTACATAAAATCGTCCTTTATAATGTAAAGAACATTCTGTGAAAATGTAACCTTGATATCTGTAATATTGACTGAGTAAGGCCATGTCAAAGATTGAAAAAAAAAATGCTTGTTATCTCATAATTAGATTTTGAGACTTTAGCCTGAATTTCATTTTAGAGCCTGTAAAAACGTAAGTAAATGTACGTTTTATAGAACCACATTTTACGTAAAATACATACGAATTATCATGAGATCACGTTGCAAATACACATAATGATGGGCTTACAGGCATCAGAGGATTGTGAAAATACAGTATTTCACTAGAACTTGGTCTTCATTACACTATTTTCTGTTTCTATTTTTGTTTTACCTCTGTATTTATTTATGTTCAGTGTCAATTGTCCTTTATTAATGTATTCTGCTAATAACGGTTGTTAAAATCACTTTTCAAAGTCATTTTTGCTACAATTTCACATGTCATTAAATAAAATAAAAATACCTCATTCACACATGCTGTTGTTGTTGTTTTTATGAAAACCTTAATAGAAGCTATGAGATATTTTAAGACCAGGCAGATAGCGGGCTAAAAAAACTATAGTAATAAATAAGTTATTTAAATAATATTAATAAAACTAATATGAATTATATCAATATACTAATATTAATGAAAATAAACTATCATTAAAAAGGTTATTTATAGCACTTTCAAAGCATGGTTCTATTTAGCACCAAAAAGGGTTCTACTATTGTTACAAGCTGAAGAACCTTTTCTGGTACTGTTTAGAACCTTTTTCTTAAGAGTGTATGTTTGATTAAAACCACCCGTGGGCCTAATCGGGCGTCACATTTCCTAACTTAACAATGTGTTATTGAAATAACGGCACAGTCCTGTGATAGTGATAACGGACAGTGAGCTGCAGGCAGACTGGATGGGGTAGCAATGCTTGCGCTTATCTGTGCGTAAAAGGAGCTCAGCGCTGTGCTGATAACACAGGTTGAGCTTAAAAAACAAGAGTGTCAGGCCATGATAAAAAGAACCGGTTACAGTTTGCAGAACAACACCAGTGCAGTTTGCACACTTAAAAACACTTACAACTGAGCACCTGTTGACTGTTCTTCACATAATGAACATGCATCAGTGGCTAAAAGTGTTTTAGACTCTAAAAAGTCATATTATTTCCTACTCCTCCAGCCTCAAGGTTGGACAGCATGTAATGTTGTAAGAGTGAAGACTGAGCACTTCAAACACTTATGACAGCATGTCCTCACTCAGGCTCCTCCCAGTAAAAAACACTTTTTGCCGCTCCACCTCCAAATAGTAAAATAGTAAACACACTGTTTATAATGTTTTCTATTTCAAATAATTGCTGTTCTTTTAAACTCTCTATTCATCAAAGAATCCTGGAAAAACTATTATGGTTTTCAAAGAAAAAAATAAGGTAGCACAACATTGATGATAATAATAAATGTTTCTTGACCTCATTGGCATATAAGAATGATTTCTGAAGGATCATGTGACACTGAAGACTGGAGTAATGATGCTGAAAATTCAGCTTTGAAAATGTAAATAACAGTTTTCTATTCTGTTTTGTGGTTTAAGTAAATAAGTATCTTTCAGATCTGTAAAACATTAACAGTAAAGCCTAGAGGAGGACGTCAGACTTAACAACAAACCAAGCCTTCTTTATAGGCTCCTTCATCACATGAAGGATAATTCATCCATCATTCTTAGTTCTTCTGGTGCATTCTGGGAATGCATGTATGGCTGATTTGGGACAGACCATTTCTCTTAAAGTCACCATGACATTATTGACATTTGCAATTCGTTTTTCTTTCATAAGTGACATTTCTGAGTGAAACAGAATTTTGTAACAACATGTAGGGAGACCTGATTAGATGGAGAACAGCAGGTGTTTCATACGAGCATTTGCAGTTGATTATGGAGGACTACACCTTTCCTAAAACACCACTAGCACCCAATAGTTAACACTTAACCCACTTTGGCGGCATTAACCAAAAAAAATAAGAAAAAGTCATTTTTTACTTTTGCTAAAATATTCTGACACATTTGACATGTAGTTCTGTCTATCCAATTTCACAATCACTGAGTGTTTTATTTCATAATTGCATTGGTAATAAAGCTTATGAATTAATCAGTTTCTAAATAACTATTTGTCTTTTTTCTATCAGCAATAAAGCTCCTATTTTGTTCTAGAAAGAAAAGGATTTTTATTTAAAGCATAGACAGACGGCATCTCACCCAGCAAAGTCTTCTCATTTCCCCTTTTTTATGTTCTCTGTGTCAGTGTGATAGTTCATTCAAAATGTAATGACTGACTCTCTTTTGTATACCCTTTTCTTTTGTGTAGCCCAATTTCAGAGACTTAAGAAATCAACACATCTCCAAACGGTCTTTTTTGCACCAACACGTATAAAAACGATTATGGAGCATTTGCAGATAATTGAGCCCTTGAGAAGGTGATTGAAAAACTGACTCCTAACAGCTGACTGAACTGATTGAAACAGCTAGTACCTCATGTTTAATTAGGAAAAACATGGAAAAGCATGAAAATGGTTGATTTTGGGTAATTTACAAATTGTAAAAAAAAAAAAAAAAAAAGAAGAAAATTCTTAAAACCTAAAATAAAGTACTAAAGAGTTAAAAACGATTAAATAAAGAGGAAAATAAAATGTATGGATTTTTCTGTAAATAAAATGTAAAGTAGACGTACAACAAATAAATGCTGAGATTTGTTTCGTACTTAACAAATCTGCAAACTTTAAATTCACATTAAATTGCAGTTTTTTTACATTGTCAATGCAAGTGTGGTTGACTATCGGTATTTAGTCAAGAAAAGTTTACGTTCCTTTGTCAATATCGCAAATAAACATTCAAATTTCTGATCAGGTATGGCTTGTCAAAACTGACCAATCAAAATAGGCTGTATTGTAATATGAACTTTTAGTAGTCGTCTCCACATCTCTCATTTTCCTGTTTGCTTTTCTCTGGCTGGTCCAGAATCTGCTGTTCTCCCCCGAAGACCTGCCTGAACTCCAGAGCACCTCCTGCCCGCAGCACCATGTGCCACTGCTGTAGCAGCGAAGGACACATGACTGACAGATACACCCGCCACTCCCCGTCACGCTTCACTTCCTCTAGCGTGCACCTCACTTGCAGGTAACGGTCCAGCACAGAGAGGAGAAGCTCAGGTGCCAGCGCTTCACTGTCCCGACTGCCTTCACATTCAGACTGAAAGGAGACCATGACTCTGCACAGGCCCTGGCCGTCTGCTCTGTTCTGCAGGAGCTGGGAGAGGAAAGCAGCGGTGTCGTGCAGGAGGGCCGCCACGTGGGCCACGGGGCTCAGGTCGTCCTGTAGCGGTCCAACTCGAGACCCGTGCAAATAATGATCCAGACCGTCCACGATAATCAGAGAGGGAGGAGACGCCAGCTCATGGAGGGACGCTATATCTTCAACAAGCTCCTCCAAAGTCTTCACATACACAAACTTGACATTCTGTAAATGAACATGCATGAAAAAAAAATGTATTTGACTTTTATTCATAAAATTTTATATTTGGCATTTTTCTCTTTCTGATTTTAAGGTTAATATTAACCCTGCATCAGATGTGTAACATCAACATGGTCTGACATAGGAAATAATAGTCAAATATTATTAGTCAAATAATCATATATATATGTTTTATTTTATTTACTTTCTTTATGAATCATGTATTATGAGCGAAGAAATGTAAAGTGGTGTTAACATCCAAAATCGGGTTTCGGTGCAGAGCAAAAAAGTCTTCATCAGGCTTCATTCTGGTTGCAGTTTGAAAACTATTTTTTGGATTTGGACATTATTTTTTCTTTGTTTATCATATATTATGACATAATATTAATTTGGAGTGCATACTTGACCAAAAATGTCCAATTTGGTGCAGATGCTGATATTTATATATGGACAAAACGTAAGATGAAATCCTGATTGCTTGTAATGTAAATCAAGATGAACAGTGCAACCGCTACTTACATAAATGCATATAAGTTATCACTCAATATCTCCTAATACATAACAATCAATCAGAAGGCATGTAGCCGATTATGTACAACTGTTTTTTTCATTATATTGGATCATTTTGAAGCCTTAGAAATGAATGTATCAAATATTATACAATAGGTTTTACGGGGTTTATGGCATTTCTGACTGAATTACCTTGTATTACATGTATATGTACTTCATTAATTATCATTAAACAAACCATTATTACCTTCAGGCTTTCTAGTTTTAATCCAGGTACTGAAGCTCTCAAAGACACCGGCAGAGACTGAAAAGGGGTCTGTGTGAAAAACAGCACTTTGAGCCCCAGATCTGTGGCAGCTGTCACAGCTGCTAGAAATAACACAGATCTACTGATATTTACATCCCCAAGCACCAGTGTGTTTGCTTCTGCGTCAGGGGGACATATTACATCACTCGTTACAGTTGCTGATGCGAACCGTCTGAAAACGACTCCTAAAATATCAGCCATAACAATCTGCCTTCAAATCACAGCAGTTATTGATTTGAGTGTAAGTAGGACTTATCTGCAGCTACTGTGCAACGTGCCTCTTCTCCCGCGAACTTGACGTCGCACCGCCCACTCTTGGAACAACGCATCTGATTGGCTATCGTAATAGGGTGCTCACTGTTGATTGGCCAAATCAAAGTGTCGGTTCAAATCAACATTAAATTATCCTCGTTTCAAATTGCTAAAAATATTTTTTTATTATTGTAAAATCATTAAAAAAAAGTTGGACTTAAAAAAATAGTTAAAATAAAACACGGAATAAAAAAAATAAAATAAAAAAAAACACTTCCTTTAAGGCTCCACGCGGCACTTCCCTTTAAGACAAAACATAACAACTCAACAGCTGATACGAAACATGGCGGCGGTAAACACAGAGCCCAAAGCCACCGGAGAGCAAATCAAAGCCATTTTACGCCGCTGCAGGGGTCGCCCGAGGCTAACAGACGCGGACCGGGCTCAGCGGCGGCTCGAGTCGCGGAAGAAGTACGATGTGCGGCGCGTTTATCTGGGAGAAGCGCACCGGGTCTGGAGCGAGCTGCGCCGGCGCACGAGCCTGAGCGACGCGGGGCTCGCCGAGTATCTGATCCTGCTCAATTCTGCATATGGAGAAAAATACCAGCAGAAATACGCCAAGTACGTATTCAGATTTCACGAACGCCATATTTGATCATGCATCACTTAAACTCACTGTGCAGTAAGTTGGCTAAATGTGGCATACAGTATACAGTATGTGCCTGATACAACAACATTTGTTTTCTTTTTGGATCTTGCAAGTGTTCTTTGGTAAGCTGATACTGCTGTGTATTAGGCTCTACCTTACTGCGTAATGTTTTGTTTGTTTACATGGATGCCAAACAGTTGATTAGTAGTACATGCTATCTGTACCATAAAGTACTATAACCTGACCTCTTCTGTAGAACACAAAAAGAGACGTTAAGCAGAAAGCACAATCTATTTTCAATACAATGAAAGGGGGAACCAGAGACAGCTGTGGTCACTATTCAGCTTCATGTAGCTTTTCTTTTTAACGTGAATGGTGTAACATGTCTCTTGTGTTGTGATGGTTAGGAGAAAACCCCTTCCTGAACAATGCAGCAGTCACAGGAAAGGTGAGTAATATTTATATTGACTAAATGTAACCTAATTAATTTTCAAAACCAGTGTTTCCTGAGCCTCTCTCTCTCTCTATACACTACTGTTAAAAAGTTTGGGGTTGGTACGGTGTTTTTGGAAAAGTCTTTTATGCTCACTAAGACTGCGTTTGTTTGATCTAAAAACTGTAATATTGTGAAATATTAATAGAATTCAAAATAACTTTTCTATTTTAAAATGACTCCAGTCGTCAGTGTCACATGATCCTTATGATAGGCTGCTTTGCTGCTCAATAAACATTTCTTATTATTATAAATGTTGAACCATTTATTTAAAAATAGAAATCTTTTGTAACACTGTAAATGTCTTTGTCACTTTTGATCAATTGAATGTGTCCTTGCTGAATAAAAGCAGTCGTTTCTTAAAAAAAGTGTAGTGTATCATCTGCTCATTTGTCTTTATTTAATTTATTTCTTTTGCAGGGAAGAAGATGTCTGCCACCAGCTTGCAGACTGTGGCGAGCTGGTATCAGGGTCACTGTCAGTCGTGTCAGCATGAGCCTGAGCTGCGGGCCGTGGAGCCCACTGTGGGTTTATCTACATCTGCACTGTGGCAGTGTGTGGCGGGTCATTCGTTTGTGCAGAACCTGCCCTGGCCTGCAGGAGGCGAGTCCGAGTCGGACGGGGAGGACAGTGTTATGGAGAAAGATGAGGAGGATAGGCCTCCAGAGAAGGAAGCTACTGTCAATGAGAGTATCAACATCAAAAGGAGAAAACTGCCAAACCACGGGCAGCTGCAGGGTATGAAAATCTTACTTGCGTGTCTATATCGTATTGCAGGGCTTCCCAAATTGTATTTTTTTGTCAGGCGAACCCCTTAGATGTAAAATAGTTTCTTAAATAATTTAACGATGCTTATAGATTTTCACAGTTCTCTGATGATGGTTAATGTTTGCATGACATGCAAACAGAGTTGTTATTGTTAACTAAAACCATAAGAAATAAGAAAGTAAAAACTTGAAAGAAAATAAATGTTCACTGATCAAAAAAACTAACTTTAACTTATTTTATTTCGACTTGTTGTCGATTTCTCATTTTTGTTTAGTTTGAACTGAAATACAAAAAGAACTAAAACTAAATAAAAAATAAATACTATATAACGCAGATACTATGCATTACATACTATATAAATACTATACATTCAAAAACCAAAAGCTAATACAAATGCTGAAAAACAAAACAATTGCACTAAAACTTTAAAATAAAAACATGGCGTATTAAAATAAATAAAAGTAAATGAACTAAATCTAATAAAAATGGATAAATCCTAATAAACTTTTAAAAAGCTAATAAAAATGACAACATACAACAAAATTACTGAAACTTAAATTAAATATATAAAATTAAAAACTGAATGTAAAATATTACCAAAAACTATATTTGTGTGTGTGTGTGTGTGTGTGTGTGTGTGTATATATATATATATATATGTATGGTGTGAGAAAAAGATATATTCCGCGGACATGAAAAACAACCCACGGAAATTGTGTTAAAGGGTTAGTTCACCTAAAAATTTTAATTAGTCCATAAATTACTCACCCTCGAAGCATCCTAGGTGTACAGTGGGTACGGAAAGTATTCAGACCCCCTT